AATCCGGGCGTCGTATAGTAGTGGGCCGGATCCAAACGATACGCCGTTCGACACTTGGCTCTGAAATTTTCAAAAACTTCGGCCAACAAGAGAATGTCCGTCTTGAGATACAAATCCGAATAGTTGCCGAGATCGGCGATGTCGAACGTTCTCCAAACGTTCTCCGCGTGACTGTACTCCTCGTCGCTGATATCCGAATCGTACAGACTGCTGTAAAAATCTTGCTTTCGTGGAAGCGTCGTCGTCTCCTCGAGTTTTATAAACGACGACACATAGTCATACGGAAATACACCTTTTCTCTTGAGTAGGGCAATCTGCGCCAGTGTGTATCCGTCATCTTGCTGAAAATGTCGCTCTAGAATATCGTGTTTTTCCAAGTACGACGATAGTTTGTCGAGCGACGACGCCATAAATCGAAACGAATCGACGAAACGCAGCTTTATATCGGTACCTTCCACGTACTTCGTAAGAGATATGTATTTTTCCTTGGTTTGAGGAATGAGGCTCACTCGACCGGGAAATTCGTTCACGATTTCCCGGATAAATAGATGCGCATCGTATCCGCTGAGACTGTGAAAAAAAACGGGTATAGTTCGCGATTCTTGATAAGCAATGTTACACGTGCTGTGAGCAGCTCCACGATACTTTCCCGTAAAGTGACAATGATCGCGAACTTTTCTGTCTTTTTTTTTTTTCATTCTCGACAAAAGGCCTATTACATATATGACATAGCGTAGCACGAAGAAAGCTAAATGCCTCTTGAAACGTTAAATTTTCCATAGGCTGCGGGATTCTGTACAACTCTTGCAGATACTTGGCCAAATCGTGAAGATTGCGAACGAACCACTTGGCCGGACCAACGTCATCGACGGTTTTCTGTCTGTAGCTTCGATAACGCGAAAGAGAGTCATCGTAGCTACACTTGACGAAAAAGCCAACGCTGTACGGTTTGTGACGTTGATAGATCCGCTCGTCGTTGGACACCGCTTCCAAGAGACTCTCAAAATCGGCGTACACGACGAACGGTACCGCGCACTCATTTTTAAAGTTTTCAAATTGTAAATATTTATCCTTGACACTGGGAAGCACAATTTTACACATATTCACATTTTTACAGCCGATCTCGTGCGTTTTCAATCTCTCTTCAGTTAGAAAATAGTGCAAGCAACGATCGCATATGTACGACTTACATTTGCGAAATGACAACTGTCGATACATCAATCGAGATAAGTCTTTTATCCAAACGTAGTGCACTTTGTATGGTATACCGGGACGTTCCATTTGCTGCTGCTGCTGCTTTTCGTTTACATCGATATAATAATTTTCCACTAGAAGAAGATTCACATGCCTGTCTTTTTTCTCATCGGTCAAATGTTGCGGCAACACATCGTAGGATCCATTATTCAAATTTAAAAAGTACACGTTCACTGAAACGTTGTTTTGCTTTTCAAATTTCACGATTTTTTTCGGGCGTACCGGAAATGATAGATTTTTGAAATTATATTTATCTTGATGAGCAGTATAGGCAGTGACACGGCATGCATTCCTTGCGACTGGATGTAACGCCGAAAGGATGGCCCATTTGAAGCATTCGTTATCGATGTTCCGCACGTTCACACAGGCTTTCTTACTTTTAACAGGCTTGGGCAATTCAACGTAAGAACCAGCTCTCACAGGATTGTACTTGCTGATATTTACGGTTAAGTTTAATATAACGCGAAGAGACCAGCCCGTGTCTTGCTCTTGAAATTCTTCCGTGCTCTTACTGATTGGTTGTAAAACGTTTTCGACGAACCACTCGTCTATATCTGTGGTTAGGTATATCGGCGCCATCTTCGTATTGAAATGCTTCACATCGAGCTTTTCATCGCAATTATTCTTTTCGACTGCATACTCGGCATCCAGTACGGCATTAACTTTTAAAGAACTATGTTTCTTCAAGGTCTCCTTAATTTGAGCATTGAATAATGGTTTGGCATGCCTCAAAAACGCATTCAAATCCAGATGTTTCAGATTGGTTATCACACCAGTCTTTATTCTGCCTTTGAACGCACTATTGATGTCGTTCCAGTGAACTGTTGAGTTTTGAGCTGGATTAATAACAGCCGGTGTAGTGGTAGTAGTAGTAGTAGAAGTAGTAGTACTAGCCGGTTCGAGACCTTCACCAACTACATCCAAAATAACGAGAGGTTCGTATATGGATTGTTCGCTATACTTGCCCACCACAGGTTTGGCAATCAATGAGGTCGCAATGGGGGGCTGTACCAACAGCCTACTCTTGTATTCGTTTAGCAGATGTAAAACGCTTCTAATCATGCACATAGCTGCCTGCAGCTTCTGTTTGCTAGACACGATCAAGCTAGGCGAACGAGAAAGCTCATCGGCTTTGCGCAAAGCCAATGAACCCAGTGTCAACCATCTTTCGATGTCTTCGACACTAGCATAACCTACATTCGCCAGACGATGTGCGCGCAAGAGCAACAAAGCTGTGTTCTTGAAATACTCAGCTATGATGCTAGTTACTCAACTGAGCAGATTTGACAAATCCATCGCGTTATATTCATTACTCGTCAATGCTGATTGGTTGGAAAAAGTATGGGGGGGGGGGGGGACGATTGTGATTGATCGAAAAATTATAGTGGGGCATCAACAAGTGCAAGCTCAGTATAAAAAGACATTCATTCGTCTGTATTGACGCAGTCGTCGACGTCGATTCCTCAGTTACTACGATGGATTTTGTTGTAGACGTACAGGGCTTCAAAACTAGCTTAAACGAATTCGTATTCAAGGAGATTGCTGTTTGTCCTCTGGAAGAAGATCCAACTCCATCGGTGCTTCTGTTTAAACCACCTTAACCATGGGAGTGGTTATTAAAGAAAAATCAGTGTGAAAACCGGTGGTTAGCGAGAAATTTTCATGGTATTCCGTGGGAATCTGGCGATTTACCGTACGACGATCTTGGAAAAATAATGAAAAAAACACTTTTTGGAGCAACTATTTTTGTCAAAGGTCTTGAAAAAACAAAATGGCTGAGAAATTTGTTGACCAATGCACAGTAAGTGTCTTTTCGTCGCGTATCATCTTAAGGAGAAAAAATGATATCTAATGATTTTATTTTACAGAACGACTGTGGTTAACGTTGAAGATTTGGGTTGTCCATCACTCAAGAATATTTCAAACGATAGCATTTCCGTATGCAGTAACCACAACGCGTATCTATCAAATCCACCGTGTGCCTTTAAAAACGCGCTGGCTATCAGTAGATGGATGCTCGCTTGCAAAAGTCGTGATATGTAATTTGATTTTTTTATATCTAAGTTTGAAAAATAAATTTTAAAAATTAACGTATCGATCAATCCTTGTTTTTACTCACTTATAATATATAAATTTTAGAAACAAACAAATATAACATTAAAATACAAAAAAAAATATTAGATTAAAAGAGAAAAAAAGTACACAAACGTTTTTTAAAAATAATTAGGAACTTTATTAAAACCAAACAAGAACAAATTTACGCAAAATAAGCACGAACGCGTTTGCTAATAGTTTGACGACATATTGGACAATCGTCAATTCTTGATGCACATTCCATGCACACAGTGATATGACCACAAGGTAAAAAAAGTATAGCGACCCTAGCATCCAAACATATCTTACATCTGGTAATTTCAAGTTGACGCAAAATATTGCCTATATCTCGCTGAGACTTTTCAACCCTTTCGCGAATTTTATTCATTTTTTCATTTTGTTTATCGATACTCTTCTTATAACCGCGTACAAATTCTTCGCAAACAGATACCATACCAACAGTTGCATTTGCTATGGTTTTCGAAGCACATTTCTCCGTCAAAGGTAAATCGGAAAAAAGCTTTGTAACAAGACTCTCAATCGATAACGATAACGCAGGCTCGTCTGTACTCGAAGGTGGGCTAGTTGTTGCGCACGCTGTTGCTGCCCGATACTCGAGCTTATACGGTCCACAAACATCTTTACTTTTTCTTCGAGGAGGAGGTACCGGTACGGGGCTCAATCCGATCGGCACATTGCCGCAACTTCTGTTACGAATGAAAAGGCAGCCGCCATTCCAGCGCTTATGTTCCGTCATAGGGTCGTCACCTTCTTCCCAACGACAGACTTCCATACCACATTCAAAACAGCGTACTTGATCGATCTGCCCCGTATAATAAAAGCCGGCCGCAGCAAGATCTGCTGCTCGTCCGTGTGCGCATGTCCATTGAGACGTGAAGCTATCCAGCCTCGCTTGCTCAAATCTGCACAAATAAAAAAATATTAAAAAATATATAAAGTGTGTTCTATAAACAATAAAACAAATAATTACCTATAGTCAATCTTGTTGGAGCTCATTGTAGAATGTTCGTATAACCTTTTTTCTTTCACACTTTACACTAGTTCACTCTGGATGCGAATGCGACTGCTGATGAGATGCAGCTCATTTTTATAACGAACGATTGAGATTTCCCCTTCCATCCTCCATTAAAAAATTCCATACATGCCATACGTGCCATACATTCCATTTATTCCATACATGCCATACATTGCATAAAAAAATTCATTTAATTTTTATGAGTTATACATACACGTGTGCACGCGTAAAAATTCCATACATGCCATACGTGCCATACATTCCATTCATTCCATACATGCCATACATTGCATAAAAAAAAATTCATTTAATTTTTATGAGTTATACATACACGTGCGCACGCGTATGCGTATGTAAAGCATACAACTTGAATTGACTCAACGGCCTATGCGAGTGACGTCATTTAAAGTAGAAGCAACAGTATGCAATGGTGGTGGTCTTACTCTACAAGACTTGAACACATTTTTAGGAATTATTATTTTATCGATCTTTAATTCAAGAAAAAGTCAGAGAGATTACTGATCAAATAATCCTTTTTTAGTCTGCGAATTAGTAAAATTAGCCATGAGTCGTCAAAAATTTGAAAAAATAAAATCAGAAATAAAGCTATCAAAAAATGAAGACAAAAATGCAAATGATAGAGCTTCCTTTAGATATACGTGTTCCTTTAGATATTTTTCGAAAAACCTGCCAACAATTTGCGATTTTTTCCACAGCTTTATCAATTGATGAATGTATGATCAAATTTTATGGTAGGACAGTCTTGAAGCAGTTTATGAAAGGTAAACCTGTACGTTTTGGTTTGAAACTGTGGGCTATTTGCAATAAAGAAGGATTTATTTTTGATTTTGATATATATTGTGGGAAAGGATCAAACCATCTCCCTTCGAAGCAGTTAGAGAATTTAAGAAATTGTGCTTTGGGTAACCGCGTTGTTCTACAAATGCTCCAGAGGCTCCTAACAACTGTGTCACCAAGAAAGATCAGTCGTTATCACATTTATTTCGATAACTTTTTCAGTTCACCAGATCTTTTCGTTCATCTACGAAAAATTGGTCTTCGAGCTACAGGTACTGTGAGAGCAAATAGAGTAAGCGGAGTCACTATTGATCTTAATAATAAATCAAAGAGAGGAACATGTTTTGTGAAACATGACAAAAATAGTGGTGTCAACTACATATCAGTCATGGACTCTAAAATTGTCTCATTGCTCTCGACGGCTGCTGGCATTACTCCATTGTCTTCAGCAAAACGATATTCTAAAGATGAACATGGTAAAGTTGAAATACCTTGTCCTTATGCTTTCAATTTGTACAACAATTTTATGGGTGGAGTAGACCAACATGATTATTACTGTAGCAGTCTGTTGCCGTGTATTAGGTCGAAAAAGTGGACTTGGGTAGCTTTAATGAGAATTATTCAAGGATCAATTACAAATGCCGCCGTACTCAAGAATTTGGTGTGTGATAAAAAAATTGTAACCATAAAAGACATTGCACTAGCTGTAGCATCAAAATACTTGAATGAAACCAATAATAGACAATCTCACACACACGAAAAAGTCATGGCAAAAAAGAAATGTTTCAACTTCACAAAATGTTCTAAAAGAACACAACAATTTTACGTTGATTGCCAAAAATATTTTTGTTCTACATGTTTCCTTGATTTTCATAAATAATTTTATAAGTTTCAATTAAATCTAGTTATCAGATTTTATCCAAAACATTTAAGTATAAAAAAATTTGAATAAGGCGAGAAACAAAAAAAAAATAAAAAAAAAAGTAAAAAAACAAGGCAAAAAACAAAAAAAAAGAAAATGTCTCTTTCTATTGTCGACCTCCCCGTGGTAAGAGATGGACAACGGTGATGTACCATCGCCGGCTAACAGGCATAACAATTAGAGAACCGAAAATCCCGTTGGTTCGGCCTTTTTATTTATTTGTTGCTCATTATATTGAATATACAAATAAGTTTTTTTACAATTTCACACATTTTTTCTTCAAAACTATGCAGTTTAACTAAAAATTTATTAGAACAAAAATATCTTAGAATTAATCAGGGAATGCTCTTGAATTTTTTCAAAATGTTTTTTCAACTTTTTTGAAATTTTATAACGGGGTTCCTGCTCAGCTTCGCTTGAGCGGGACACGCTATATAAAAGTAACCGCGGAAAAGTAGATGGATAGCTCTCCAGAGCAGATCGGCACTCCTGCACCGAACGTCCTGGGTCCAGCAGCTCAGTTGCCTCCTTTTCAGTCAGAAAGCTTGGCCCGCGGAGAGTGTCGTAGGCTACGTGTGAAGATGCGCGACGGCCAAAGAGAGAGATTCGGGCGTGTACAGTCGCATACACAATCGCAATGCAAGGAACGGGGAGTCGGCAAACAATAAGCACTCAAATATGATTAAACGTGGATGCGTGTAAATTTTAATTAGCAACAAAGGAATACATATTATCAAAACGATCGATATGAACAAAGTTAATCGTAACGCAAACAGACTCGCAATAGCTTGACAGTGAAGCGAACGGAACTGCGCACGCGCTACGCGGTCAAGGTCGCGCAAGCACTCGCTCTGTTGTGAGCTGTGCACGATGGCGATAGCGAACTGGCGCGCACCGTTCGAACGAGGGAGCGACAGCGCTTAACCTCGTCGAACCATGTAACAGCGGATTCGCCTGTCAGGAGCTGGACGTTCGCGAACGGCAAACCGCACTTATTCGTCTCGGATATGACAAATGTATAAAAGTGACTGCACGTTCGCGGAGAGAGAGATTGCCGGTACCAACCGTGGCCACGACGTAACGAGCACCAAAGAAAAGGCGGGCGTAAATGCGTGGTTCAGTTAGCGTGAAAAAGGAGAGAGCGGTGTAGAGAGAGGCCAGGTACTTGATCTAGTACTTACAGTAAAGCCGCTCGCACTTCCGTCCTAACCCGCAAATCAAGGGCACGCGATAGCGGGCTCGCTTCTACCGCACGCTCGCTTTGTTTTCGTCTGGCTGACTCCTAATGGCACTTTTTTCTGGCGTGACAGCGTACACAGGCACGTGTGAGGCTGGGTGACCGCAGCAGGCTTCGACTCGCGCGAGAAACGTTAGCCCGTCAATTGTCGAAAACGGACTGTGTCAATTTTTTGAAACTCTCTCTCTCTCCTCGCAAGGAAGCGTCTCCCCACGAGGTCCGCGCCGCGAGTCGATATCGATTATCGTACGCGAGTCGCGTCGCTTACCAGTTCGCTGACGTCCGTGATGCTGTAATTATTCAAGCAATATGGTAATTTATAATGAATATTAAATATATTAGTTGCTGGCTTCTTGGAGAGAGAGAGACATAACGAATATACAAACGATTCGTTATATCCCCCTTCCCCAGACGCTGGTTGCCAGTGGGTACCAGATCGAAACCTAGTCTCTCTCTCTGCATGCGTATGAGTTTATTTACTCCATAGGGAAAATTTAAGACGCGAGCCTTCATATTGGGGCGGAATAAGCGCAACCACAAAAGGATAGGAAGGGTAAGGTAGTTAGAGTAACTCTCTCCTTTACAAAAACGGGCGTTTATTCGCTACATATGTAGTATAAGGTATAACAAAAATAATACACATTTTTTTTTTTTGATTAGGGGCACAGCCCTCGCTTAGCGTTACGCGCGCCGCGTAACAATCAAGTAAAGGAACAAAACATGGTAGCGAAACTCGCTTTTAGCGTGTACGCGAAGCGTAACGCTTACTTGCTGCCCTTATGGGCGCGCAGCTCATTCGCCGTATAGGCGTATTGCGCTTGCTGCTCCGACAACCACAGCGGGTGGAGCGAAAAGTTCGGGCAGTCAGTCGAGCGAGCGACGCCAGTCAGGCCGCACATGCGGCAGAATCTTACGCCTATGAGGTCGTCGCGCGGTCCGTCCCATTTTCCGCACGGTTCCGTGCGGAACGCATTCTTGAGGGCCACGTGGCCGGGTGGCCGTTTAATGGTGCCCCGCGCGAAGCTCTGGGTCAGGCCTCCAGGCCTGGCCGGAGCCTGGGCGACGACCATTTCCGCGCATGGTCCCGCCTGGTCAGGGGTAGACTCCGTGTCCCAGGGCCTTCCGGCTTGGCAGATACGGAGCGCATGGCGACGGGGATCCACCGCCAAGCGATCCAGCTGCCTCATCTGGGCACGGAGGTCGTCCACCTCCCGCAGCTTGGCCTCGACGGCCTCAGCGAGCGCTCGCTTTTCCTCCTCGGCCATGCGCTGCGCCAGCCATTCAGTACGGACGTCAGCGACGTACGCTTTCCAGTCCAGCTCCTGCTGGATCTTCGCAGCGTACTCGCCAGCGACCCTCCTTGCCTCGGGGCCAACGACGCGGATGAAGTCCGCCGCTTCCGTAAAGACGGCGGTCTCCTCCAGGTTGGCGGCAATACGGGCAGCGCGGGCGCTTTTCACCCGCTGGAAGAGTTCTTCCCAGGCCTCTTTAAGGGCCCTTGGCCCATAGACGGGGAAGGGAGCGTCGTCGCTGGACTCGGTGTCGTCCTGGGCTGGTGACGAAGCGACGTCTGCGGCAACCTCCGAGTCTCCCTCAGTGCTCGCCTCTTCTTCGGGCGTCCTCACTCGCTCGTCGAGAGTTTCGGCCTCAGGGGCTAGTCGGAGGAGCTCAGGCGGCGAAGCGGGCTCGGCTCCAACGTCGAGGGCCTCTTCCCCGGTCGCTTCAAGCGTTCCCCCGGGGACAGCAGCCTCGGCGCTCAGCGATTTCTCGCCTTCGTCGGTCACGACCTCGACGCATATCGCGGCTTCGGCGACCGCGTCCTCAGCGACAGCGCCTTCGGCCGGAGCGACGACTCGCTGGGGCTCTCCCTCGGAGTTCTGCTGCGTAGATTCCATCTGAAAAATCCCAAGGTAAAGTAGTATCTCTTGGAGCTATCAAGATGACCCAGCAAGCAGGAGAAGATCAAGCATTAGAGAGCGACGGAGTAAAGCAGCAAAGCAGAAGTTGAAAAGACAGTAGATCGAGTAAAAGCATAAGCAAAACAAAGCAAGGAAAAAAAAACAAAAATAAGGCGCAATTGAGTCGCTTAATTTCGGTTGGAACGGAGTCGTCTCGGTGACGGCGGATTCGCACGCAACGCGGGTCTCTTCTTGCCTTTCGGTCGGCCGCGTTTTTTCCGCGGTCCGGCGTTCGCCTCGCTGTTTTCCGACCTATTCGGTTTAGACGCGCTCTCGACGGGTACTGGAGAAAACAGATCGTTGAGGTCAAACTCTTCTTCGGACTTAGGTTCCTCTTCTACTTCTTGGTCCGCGTCCGGACACTGATCCTCGTCGTGGCAAGGTCGTAAGTCGCATACGGCAACTTTACCCACATCGTGGCCTTCTTCGGTGCTCAATTGGTATGAGTTCAGGCCTAGACGAGCGGTCACGACAAAAGGTCCCGCAAACTTCGGGCTCAGCTTAGCAGCTATTTTCATCGCTGCTGAAGAGAGTAGGCGGTTCTTAACCCAGACTTTATCTCCCACGCAATACTCTACACTTCTTCGCTTTACGTTGTAATACTTCTCTTGGCGATCTTGCGCGATTCGAGTGTTCTCTCTAGCGACAGCGCGAAAATCATCTAGCTTCTCCATCCTTGTGTGCCAGTGTTCCACGGCGGCGGCTTCAAGGTTACGGACTCGGTCCCTATCCTCCTTCCTTTTCTTGGTATCGGGGAGTTCGGGGTGCCGCCCGTAATTAAGGAAAGCGGGACTAGCGCGCGTCGCTTCATGTATCGCCGTGTTGTAAGCGAAAGCGAATTCCGCAATATGAGCATCCCAGGTGGCGTGATTTTCTTGAATGAACGCACTAATCATAGTTTTGATAGTGCGATTCACTCTTTCAGTCGGGTTGCTCTTTGGTGAGTATGGCGCGCAGGTGCTATGCGTTACGCCAAACGAATCCAAGAATTCGTCCACCAGTTTATTTTTAAACGGCGTACCGTTGTCCGATAAAAACTTATCAGGCACTCCGAATCGCAAAAAGATTCGCTCCTTTAACTCGCGGCGGATCGCTTTCCCATTAACTTTGCGTAGTGGAATGCACTCTATCCAGCGAGTAAAGAGGTCAACAAAAATGAGAAGATGTTCGTGACCCTGCGCTGACCTTGGAAAAGGGCCCATAGTGTCGCCTGCCACTATTTCCCATGGCCGAGAGACTATGTGCCTTCCCATTAAACCTGCAGGAGCGACTTGCTCCACTTTGGTTTGTTGGCAGACAAGGCAATTACGGACGTAATGTGCCACGTCTCTATTCATGCCAGGCCAATAATATTTCAGCGCTGCTCGCTTTAGCGTCTTATATCGCCCTAGATGTCCTGCTGTCAGGCTATCGTGGCTTTCTACAAGCACTTGAGCTCTGCGTTCTCGCGGGAGCACTAGTTTCCATGCGTCCTCGTCCGCGCCCATCAGATCGTCAACTAGAGGATCTGGCTTGTAGATATATAGCTTATCTCCGCTATACTTCCAATATGGGTGTTCGGTTGGATTCTCTCGAACCTTTTGAACCCATTTCAAATACCAAGGGTCTTTGATTGGAGTTAGCGCTGAGAGCGATGCTAAGTCGGTGGCAGTAGTCGTGCCATCTTCTTCGTGCATCCGTGATAAGGCATCTGGAATGACGTTGAACTTTCCCTTGCGATGCACTATATCGAAACTGTACGACTGTAAGATCAACGACCAGCG